GACGGACAGACAGACAGACAGATGGACATGGCTAAATGAACTCAGCTCATCATGCTGATCATTTATATATATGGTTGTTACAAACTTCGTGGCAAACTTAATATACCCTGTTCAGGGTATAAATATGATGAAGTACTTGTTATAATATAAATAGTATATATTTCGAAAAAATTTTCAACATCGGATCACTGTAGCATATAGCTGACATACAAACTGGCCGATCAAAATGAAGTTCTTGCATGGAAACTTGTTTTCTTTTTTGTTGTGAAGGTTATTATATTTTGGGTGCAACAAAAGGTAGCCTTTTGTCTCTTGTTTTATGATTAAATTAATAGCTTTCATAAATTTATCTTGAATTTCTGCCAATCAATTTATTTCGCAATAAAGAAACCTTCCGGCCGTTAAGAGTAAAAAAATCACAAAAGTATGCTGAATATTTTTCGAACACTTAGAAACCTACCTACTACTACTACCTACTAAAAATATTTGAAAACAAGTAAGGAATTTCTAAGGTCAGGTGTAACCGAACATTTTATACTCTCGCAACTTGAAAAACCCGGGAAATTACTTAAGGTGTTGGCAAAATTTTATATTAAAGGAAGTATTGATCCGATTCGACCCATTTGTGACACAAAACAAAATATTATTGCGAGTTTCCTTTATTTATTTTTTTCTATGAATTTTAATTATATATCGTACACATTGACCGATATTTTCGGTAAAAAGTCAACTATAGGCACTGGGGTTCCCATATTCAGTACCTAAGGGCTTGAACAGATTTGATTCGATTTGGACAATTTTTGGTCACAAGGTGGCATATTTTAAACGTATTATTCATGCAAAGTGCCCGATACAAACATTGTTGCTTGATTTGCATACTGGAACGTGAACAAAACAGATGAAATTGAAAATGGTGTTATATGGGAAATAGGCGTGGTTGTAATCCTATTTCAAATATTTTCCCACTATAACATAGAAATATGAGAACAATGTTATGTACCGAACTTGGTTGAAATCGGCTAAGCAGATCCCCAGATATGGATTTTCACCTAAAAATGGGCAGTACCACGCCCACTTTCTAATTTTGAACGTGGTTCCAATAAAATCATCTTATACCATCCCAGAGATAAACTTTAATGTCTCTGGCTTTTTTAGTGCTTTTTTCGCGCTTTTAGTAGTTTTTAACAGCAGTGTTATATGGGGAGTGGGCGGGGTTGTCACCCGATTTCACCCATTTTTACACTGTCAATAGAGATGCTAAAAGCATTTATTCTGAGTGAATTTTCTTATTATAGCTTTAGCGGTTTATGTGATATTCACATTAAACCTATTAGGGGGCGGCACCACGCCCACTTTAAAAAATATATAGCTGCATATGCCCCTCCCTAATGTGATCCTGTGTACCAAATAACAGTCTTGTATCTTATTGTGGAGCTTAGTTATGGCAATTTATTTTTGATTAATGGCGTTTTGTGGGCGTGGCAATGGTCCGATTACGCCCATATACATACCAACCGTCTTACGGTACCAAGAAATATGTGTACCAAGTTTCATAAAGATATCTCAAGTTTTTACTCAAGTTACAGCTTGCACAGACGGACGGACAGACAGTCACCCGGATTTCAACTCGTCTCTTCAACCTGATCATTTATATTTACATAACGCTATATCTAACTCGGTTAGTTTTAGGTGATACAAACAACCGTTAGGTGAACAAAACTATAATATTATACTCTGTAGCATCATGTTGCTAGAGTATAATAAAAATCAGACTAACTGCCTCGAGTGAATACACAAATAAATTTCGAATTCATTGCCTTTTTAACGGAAATTCAAAATTTATAGAACAAATAAAACATCAGAAGTATGTTTTCAAAAAATGTCAGAAAATATTCCCTTTATTCTAGAGTGTGGAAAAAGTATCGAGTATACCACACATAACAGGCTAAAAAATTGTAACATTTCTATTCAACTTTTAACAAATTTTTGTTCAGTGGTTAGGCCTAACATTCACAGAGAAGTGTATTAATATCGTAACTGTCGGAAAATGTATTTCTGTGATATAAGATTTTGAATTAACTCGGTTTGGTATTTAAAAAAAAATAGATAAAGAAGAGTTTTTAATGAAAAGACAATCTGCTGATTTGAAAAACTGTCTTAAAACAAATACAAAATGCACAGTATGACTCGTTAGGGGTATGTTAAATTCCGTAAAAATCATATAAGCAATGAAACCGAAGAGCCAATACCTAAATGAGGAATGCATGGGATATATCATTCATCAAAATTTGGAAATGCCAAAGCTCAGCTCACTAACCATCAATTGACTGTGTCATAAATCAGCTTTCGTTGCCACCATATTCTCGGTTTCTGATCCCCAGAGATTTTTTCCATATCTACCCACATAGATTGAGAGCTTTTTTTGTGTCTTGTACCACAGAAACGATACGCTATAATCAGTAGCCTCTACAGCATATCCGTTAATTCAGTTCTGCCAAAAAACATTTATTTATTTTTATGTAGCTTACT